CCCGAAGAGTAGTCATCTTCGGGGTCGGGCGAAGGTTTGAAAGAAGTCCACCACCTCTCGCTGACTGAAGCCTCTAGCCACGTAGCGTGCCTTGAACACTAGCAGCTCTCCAGGGGGGCGCTTCACCTTGAAGAGCCACCGGCCATCAACTACGTTCACTCGAGGTGGAGACACTGGGTCGACGTAGGTGCCGGTGGATCTCCAAGATGCCATCTCTTGCTCCATGGCAGCCATCCACTGAGAGGCCCAGGGTCCCGAGGTCCCCTCAGCGTACGTGCGAGGGGTTGGGATGTTAAGGGCGTCTGGGTCACCCTCAAGGACTAGCAGCATGGAGCAGAGATGGGGAGCAGCCTCGGATAGGAAAGCAGGCTCGTACTGCCTCTCCTCTAGGACGTCAGTGCCAAGGGCAGGAGCACCCCCGACGGACGGAGGACGGACAGGGTCAGAGACTAGAGCGGTGGCGTAGTCAAGGCGGCGGGTAGAGGCAAAGTTAGCGACAGCAGCGACAAGAGCGTCAAGGCTCGAGAGAGGAACAGAAGGGTCGGTAACGAGGGAGGCAAGGAGCCAAGGAACAAGAGGACAAGCAGCACAAAGGTAGTCAGACAGAGGGGGAGGCACGACAGCGAGCAACGACGGAGGAGGCGAAGGCAGGAAGGGAGAACGAGACTCGTGGGAACGAAGCAACATAGGGTGAGAATGCTGAACAGGGGAGACAGGACGAGAATGAGAGGGACGGCGAGACCAGACGTGAGACGGAGGCGTCGGGTCAGGAGACAGAGGAGGAGTAACAGGAGGGGAATGAGGTGGGAAAAGAGCTGGGGAGGAGTCCGGCGGAGGAAACACAAGACCGTGGACAGGAAGGGGAGGAGGCGGCGGGGGAGGCGCAGGCGAGCGGTCAGGGGAGGAAAGGGCGAGCAGGCGAAGGGCGGACACCGGCGGCGACTGCTGCTGCTGCTGCTCGGCGCCGACACCTGGACCGCCAGCTGCACTGCAGCTACCTCCAAAACACTCCACCTCAGCACCCCCAGAACGAGCACCCTCAGAGCAAGAACCCTCTCCAGCACCGGTGCCACCCCCGAGCCCGCCGGGACAAGCCACGAAAGGAACCCCAGGATTAGCACCCTCCTCAACGCCAGCACCCCCAGAGTCCACGAACGGCTGATGTGGCTGCGACGGCGGCGGCGATGACTGCGACGGAGAAGGAGGAGACACCGGGGGAGAGACAGGCGGCAAGAACTACATTGCAGGGCTACCAGAGTCAGCCGACTCCTCGATCGGAGGGGAGTGACGTGAGACACACCACATGGCGCAGGACGGGGAGGAAGGTGAGCAGGGGCTACCGGGGGAGTGGGGACCAGAAACAGGGGAGGGGAAACCGAGACCTTGGTGGGGAAAGCGGTGGTAAAAGGAGATAGACTTGTCTAAAGTGGCGTCACGGGAGTGAAAGAAGCAGTGAGACGGCGGGTGGTAAAAGTGCCAGTTAGAGGAGTCCAGGGGGGAACCAAGGAAGACACAGGGGACAGTGCGGGTAGTGAGCTTGTCCGTGCCAGAGGCACGAACGTGAGCGAGGCAGCCCCAGATGTGGAACGCGGACGCGTCACCAGGGAACCCGGTCCAAAGAAGGGTCGGCGAAACCTGCGGCCGCTAGTGAGCAGTGTAGCGAATGGCGAACGACCACTGAAAATGGGGTGCACCGGCATGAATCATGGAGGTACGAGCCACCTCCATGACCAAGCCGATGCGTCGCTCAGCGACCCCATTCTGTTGCGGGGAGTCCGGTAGGGTGTACGACTGGGTGATGCCCTTTGCACGACAGAACTGTCCAAGCCGACTAGAAGCGAATTCGCCGCCATGGTCGGAGTGGAGACACAGCACAGGGAGACTGCAGTGGAAGCGAGCAGCTATGACCCATGGGATAAGAACGTCGGGCACGTCGGCCTTCCGCTCCAAGGGAAACACCGTGGTGTAGCGCGTGTAGTCGTCAACGAGCACAAGAAAGTATCGCTCGCGACGCGGTCCAGGGACGTGGGCTAGGCTCCAGACGTCCTGGTACAGGGTCTGGAGGGGTGCGGTGGTAGGATGAAGCGAGGAGGAGTGAGGAGCACGGCGCAGCCGGCCCTCAATGCAGGGCGTGGGAGGGAGGGCAGGAAGTGGCGCAGGGAGACCTAGGACAAGACCATGCTGGGACATGTGACGCAGACGCGGGAGCGCGGGGTGATCTAGGCGGCGGTGCCACAGAAGCGACGGATGAGTGAGCGACCGACACGAGCACGCAGCGGCGACTAGGGTAGACGCAGGACCCGGGGAGGACGCCCCATACGGGGGGGAAGCAGTGTCCACCGTAAAGAGGCCAGACACCGGGTCCCGAGGGAACGTCGCAAAGGGGGAACCTGAGGCGGCCTCGGTACAGACGGCGTACCGCTCGTGACCCGGGAACGTAGTGGTGACGTCGAGGTCCTTAAGACAGCCGACACCGACTAAGTTCCGGGAGAACGAGGGGATGTGCAGGCCTGTAAGGAAACCCGAGGGGACCGCTGGACAGGGAAGGGTAGTGTAGCTGCGAGCAACTACAGGAATAGAAGAGGGGTCAGCAAGTGCGACAGCGGCAGGCGCGACAAGCGGCGTAAGCGCAGCGTGGTCGCGGAAGAAGCAGGCAGACGCACCGGAGTCAAGTGTGAAGGATAGCGAAGCAGTAGCGGCAGACGAAGGAGGAGCGAGTGTGGAGCCTAGACTAGACAAAGCAAACTGTCCTACGCCTGACGCAGCAGGGGTCTCTGTACTATACACAGGTGCTACGCCTAAGCTAGAGAACACATAGTAGCAAGATCGAGACACACTAGAAGCGTCAGCATACAGAGAATGCAAGGCAGAACTAATCTGATCCATGTCTAGGTCAAAAACAGGCACACCGTGGCGCAGCAGACTGGGCCAGTCAGGGAGGTCCGGGGCCTGGCCGAAGCGGCGACGAAAGAGGTCATCGAGGCGGCGGAAGCAGCGGGTGGTCGGATGCGGACGGCGGCATACAGTGCCACGAAGGGGTCCGGTCTGGAGCTGGTACTGGCAGCCCACAGCACCGAAGCCGCCGGTAGATGCTGAGCTGCGAGGACCGCCACCTCGGCCACCCCCTCTAGGGGCTCCCGGCCACCTCGGCGGGAGGCGGGCCCACGGTTGATGCTGCTGCTGCGGCTGCTGCTGCTTCTGCTGCCCAGGGACGTCTGCCCCAGCCCCCTCGTCAGAACCACTGTCGCCGCCACCACCACCACGCCCTCCCTTGGGGCCGCGACGACCCCGACGCTGTCGCTGCTTCTGCCGGAAGGCCGCCGCTGCTGTCTTAGCGGCAGGAGTAGCCGTAGCGACCGCAGCAGAAACGTTAGCGTACATGCACTGGGAGGGAGCACATCCCTGAAAGTTAGGGACTGCCGCAACACCGCTCGACTGAGCGATAGTGCCTTGGCGAGTCTCTATCTCAGAAAGGGCAGCGACAAAAGCGGCCAGGGTGAGGTCACCAGGGTGCTGGCTAAGGAAGTGGTCGCGAGCAATGGCTAAACGATCACGCAGGCGCATGGCAATAAGGTACAGGGTAGCGCAGAACGGCGGGGGGAAGGCAGTAAGCTATGCAGTAGTGCTAGCAGCGCGATAGCTAGTCTCTAGTGCACGGAGGTGAGTGGCGAGATCAGCGATAGTGGGGAAAGTAGAGAGATCAGGGAAGAGCATGGGGAGGATCAAGCGTCCAACTGAGGCGGAGTCAGGCGTGGAGTAGCATGCAACTACTGCATCTAGGAAGTCTTTGGCGTTTGCTACAGCGTTGAAGCAGGTACGCTCAGATAGGGGAAGCGCATGACTAATGGCAAGTTGCGCTACCGCATCGCGAGAATCCCAGACAGCGCGAGCGAGCGCAGCAGCAGCAAAGGCCTCACACTCAGCAGTGGAGAGATCAGCAGGGAGGGGATCAGGCGCGGAGGGGCGGGGAAGCAAGCCATCAACATGCATAGCCAGGGAGTGCCCATCCTGGCGCTGACCTGTCAGGTGCTGGCGAAGATCGATAAGCCAGGCGGCGAAGTCGATCGCGTGCCCCTCCGCGTCCAGACGTACCATGGCATTCGCCATTGCGAAACCTCAGCGGTACCGAGACACAGCGGCACAGGGACACAGCGGCGCAGCGGCACAAGGACACAGGTAGGCAGCTGCACGGCGAGACAGCGATGTGGCGGCAGGACTCTCCGGAACAGGGACCGGGCGTGCGATGAGTCGGAGGGCACGTTAGGGGGGGTCGAAAAGGTGGTAGAGGGACTGGCGGCGGCGCGAGAAGGGGCCGGCTAAGCTCGAGGGGGCGGCTGGGCGCGAGGGGCCGGCTAGGCCGCGAGGGGCCGGCGAGGGCGCTAGGCGCCGGCTAGTGCACGAGGGGCCGGCTGGGCGTGAGGAGTCGGCTGGGCGCGAGGGGCCGGCTAGGGCGCGAGGGGCCGGCTAGTCACGAGGGGCTGGCGACGGCGCGAGGAGTCAGCCAGGGCGCGAGGGGCCGGCTACTGCGCGAGGGGCCGGCGACGGGGTGAGGGGCCGGCTAGGGTGTGAGGGGTCGGCTAGGGCGCGAGGGGCCGACTAGGGCGTGAGGGGCCAGGGACAGCGCGAGGGGTGGCGGCTAGGCGTGAGGGGCCGGTTGGGTGCGAGGGGCCGGCGGTGGTGCGAAGGGCCGGCTAGGCGCGATAGGGGCCGGCTAGGCGCGAAGGGGCCAGCTGGGCGCGAAGGGGCAGGCTAGGCGCGAGGGGCCAGCTACGGCGCTAGAGGGGCTGGCGAGGCGCGGTAGGCTAGGGCGCGGGGCGGAAGCGGGTGGGGGGGGGGGGGGGGGGGGGACCTAACCTACTCATGATACCATGTTAGAATACTAGAATTATTAGAAACAAGGGTGAACAAGGGAAATATAGTGTTGGTGTTGTACTCTCTAAGAACATACACCTACCTAGCCTATTATTTCTACATACTAACATACGTATAAGTTGACAATTCTGACTAGAGCTGATTCATTGCGGTGAAGAAGGCGATTCTAAAATGAATTAGCTGGAAAAGCAGCTCTTAGAACACGCTATCAGGCGAGGGCCGATTTTGGGAAGAGGATAGCCTGAGAAGAGGCTGGTACGAACACGCTCTTACTCTCCTGAGAATACCCCTTCTTGTCCCAGTGGTTAGGACTGGTGGCTTTATGACGCGTAGCCCATAACGTTTCACCTCTTGGAGAGCCCCATTCCACAAAAACCAAGCAAATCCCTCCTGGCATTTCCCATGCAAACATACAGTATCATTCAACCCTATTCTGAGACATCTCAAAGCCAGCCAGCCCAGAAGATACACCATGCTGACCCCACTGTCTCTGGACAATGTAGTAGGTTTTCGGGTTTAGACCCATTCCAACATGCAGTCGCAATACGTGTTTCACCACAGGAGCCTCAGAAAATGGAGTGCTGCAGCTCCATCTGCCCCAGATAATCCTTGCTCACCCCCCTGTGCTGCTGACCTGACCCCACCCACTACCCCCTGACAAATGGCTGCTGTAAACCCAGGTGCATGCTGCACTGTGCGTTCCACTACAGGAGGAACCTCAGAAGATGGAGTGCTGCGGCTCCATCTGCCCCAGATACTCTGCGCTCGCTTCGCTGTGCTGCTGACCTGACCCCACCCACTACCCCCTGACAGATGGCGTGGCTGTTGTAGACCCACTAGCATGCTGCAGTGTGTGCCGAAATGTGTGTTACACTACAGGAACCTCAGAAGATGGAGTGCTGCGGCTCCATCTGTCCCAGATACTCCGTGCTCACCCCGCTGTCCCTGGACAATGCAACGCGCCCCGTGCGCGCCACCTGCGAAGGTTCAGGGAGGGACGACGCAAGCAAGGAGGGTGGGGTGAAGGAGGGGCAAGCGAATGGGCTAATGCCCCTGGTGATCGGGCCGAACGCACGATCGCTTGATGGTGATGTACTGGTGGTACCGGCAAGGGAAGGGAAGTGCGGTGCGGGCCACTGGGTGAGATAGGAGAGAGGGGGAGAGGGGTGGGAAGGAAGTGTGGGAGAGGCGGAGGGCCAAGACAGCTGCCAAAAACACCACATTGAAATTCCCCTCACTCCCTGCCTGAGGCGTGCATGCTGGATGCCAGACTGCACTGCTAACCTAGCACACTATCCCCGAGGAATCATCATGCCACACCGTGTTTGATTCGCCTAAAAAGCTCCCCCCACTGCCTGCATAAAGCGTGCATGCTGGATGACAGACTGCACTGCTAACCTGGCACACTATCCGGACGACTCATCATCCCACAAGGAAACCTTGTCACATCGTGGTACCTCGAGACCTTATCATCCCACACAGAAAGCTTGTCAGGCAGTGGTACCTCGAGAATGCTGTAGTCTTCCAGCAGCCCCTGCAGCGCTGCCATCTTCTTAAGGGTTCCGGTGAGCTGTCAGGGAGGAATAGGGGGGGAGAGGGGGTGAGGGGAGTTGGGGGGAGAGGGGGAGGGGGAGTAGTACTGTGAGCGGCAGAGAGAGGAAAGGAAGTCTTCCAGCAGCCCCTACAACACTCGCGTCTTCTTAAGCGGGCCTGTGAGCGGAGAGGACAGGGGGAGGGATGAGGGCACCATGGGGAGGCGGGAGGAGGGGAGGGGGGGGGGGGGGAAGAGTGAGAACGGAGGTGAGGGAGAGCATACCGGTGAGCTGAGAGGAGGTACAGAGGGGATAAGGAGACCAGCATCGTGGTTTATCCACATGACAATACACTAGCCGGAGGGTGTTACATAGCAGTACCTCGAGTGTCATTGTGCGCCTGGAGATGTCGATGACACGTGCCCGGAAGACCGATGCGATGTCCATCACCTCGCGGCGGGGCTCGCCCCTCCCTGCCGCCACCTTGATGAGCATGAGCTCGCGCTGCACGTACGGGATGTACGTGAGGTCCTCCACCTGAAAGGGGTGGGGTGAAGGGAAGAGATTGAGGCAATGGTTTTAGGGCTTTCATCTCACCCCGCCGCACTGCCACCTTGATGAGCATGAGCTCGCGCTGCACGTACGGGATGTACGTGAGATCCTCCACCTGAAAGGGGTGGGGTGAAGGGGTGGTGTAAAGGGGCGGGGTGAAGGGAAGAGATTGAGGCAATGGTTTTAGGGCTTTCATCTTACCCGGCCCCCCTGCCACCTTGATGAGCATCAGCTCGCGCTGCACGTAGGGGATGTAAGTGAGGTCCTCCACCTGGGCGCCGGGGGGAGAGGGGGGGGGAGGAGAGGGGAAGGGGAAATGATGTGAGGAGGTGCTATCGCCTTGAGGAGCATGAGCTCGCGCTGCACGTAGGGGACGAAGGTCCGAAGCATCACCTGAGAGGCAGTGGGGGAGAGAAAGCGAGACAAGATGGGAGACGGACTGAGAGGACTGGAGTCAAGCAATCCTGCTGCTGCCTTGAGGAGCATGAGCTCGTGCTGCACATAGGGGATGTGGATCAGAAGCATCACCTGGGAGGCAGTGGGGGAGAGAACAAGACAACAGATCGCTTGCGAATCTGGCTAATCAGCTGCAACCACCTTATGAACACCAAAAAAAAACACACACACACACACACACACACACACACACACACACACACAAGACTCACATCAATCACTTCAATGAGCTTGAGGATCTGCCTGAGCAGCTTGCCAATCGACTGCTCTGTGCCCGGCACCACCATCGTGATGCGCGACTCCCCTGCCTTCTCCGCTGGGCCCACTGCCAGACTCTGCACGCGGGGGGGGGGGGTGAAGGCGCGAGGACAGATGAAAAGGACGCCTGGATGCTGTAGCCTTCGCGGTAAAGACTCCGGTGATGTGGTTGAGAAAGGCTAAGCATGGAGAGGGGGTTGTGGACTCTGGTGATGGAAAGGGGGGTGTGGACTCTGATGTGGTTGAGAAAGGCAAAGCGGAAAGGGGGGTGTGGACGGACGGGGGAGGGCGGAAACAAGGAACGAAACGGAGGGGGGTGAACACACCAGGGGGTGGGGGAAAGTGGGGGGGGGGGGGAGGGGCATACCTGGATGCTGTAACCACGGCGAGCAAAGACTCCGGTGATGTGGTTGAGAACGCCGGAAGTATCGGTGACGAGCAGGGAGAGGGTGTGCGGCTGATAGCCGCCCTCCTGTGGGGCCGAGACGGGAGAGAGGGAGGAAAGGGAGGAGGGGGGGGGCAGAGGGGGGGAGGGGGGGTGTTTAGGGGGATGTGAGTGTATTGATCCCTGGAAGTAGAAAACTTATGTGCTGGGGTTGAGCACACGGGGAGGAGTACTCTTCTATAATACTCCTCCCCGGGTCAGTCATGGGGAGCGAGAGGGTGAGTGAGTACCCAATACATCTGGGCCCGTTATTAGGCGGTGATGAAATCACCGGTCTTGAAAAGGGGAGAGGGAGAAAGCTCACCACAGTGTCCAAGAATTCAGGATCCTCATTGCCCCACGTGAATCCCAGCACAGGCGGGTGCCCTTCACTCCCCTGTACCCGTTATAAGCTATGTATCCACACACCAACCTTGACGCAAGAAGGGAGAGTCCTCACCATGGGGTCGAAGTGGTCAGGGAGGGTCCTCGTTGCCCCACGTGGGCGTCAGCACGGAGGGGTGGGGTGAGGATGACTGGGGAGAAGGAAAGAAGGGGGGAAACTCTGCATAGAGGAAAGCGGGGAGAGAGAGAGCTCACCATGGTGTCGAAGTGGTCAGGGTCCTCGTTGCCCCACGTGGGCGTCAGCACAGGCGGGTACCACACAGCGTCGCCCTCTGTGGATGCTGCATACACGTCGCCCTGGCGGTAGAAAGAGGTCCGGTTCAAGGGGGACAGAGACGGGGGGACAGGGGTTCAGGGTTTAGGCCGCAGGCGGGTACCAGACAGCGTCGCCCTCCGAGGATGCTGCATACACGTCGCCCTGGCGGTAGAGAGAGGGTTCGGGTCAAGGGGGACAGCAGAGCAGAAGGAGAGCAGAAGGCTAGAACAGCCAAGGTGGGTATCAGCACAGGCGGAAGGAGTCTATTTCTGAGGCGCCTCAAAAGTGAAGGGTTGGGGTAAAGGGGGACAGCCGAGCTGAGCGAGCACAGAAGGCACGAACAGCCAAGGTGGGCGGCAGAGCAGCAGCGCGCTGAGGATCTACCAACTCGTATCAGAATTGGCATAAGCAGCAGCAGCCCTTGGCCTCTTCGCTGCGGTCCGCCATCCAGCCAGCGCCAGCGCAGCGGCCTGTCAGGCGGTCTTGAGCAGCAGCAAACCCGGACAATCTGGAACCTCAGCATCTGTCATCTCACATCCCCCAACTCACATCGGACGCGTCGGAGTCGGCGTTAGCAGCAGCGGCGCTCTGCCTCTTCGCCACAGTCCGCCGCCCAGCCAGCGCCAGAGCAGCAGCCTGCCGGGCGGCCTCGATGTCGTCCTCCACGTCGGTCGTCACTTCGCCACCCAGAGGGACCAAGTACACCCGCTCGTCCTTCTCCCTGCGCAGAGCGATCTGCCGCAATAGAAGGGTTCGGGTTTAGGGTTTGGGGTGTAAGGGGGTCAGGGGTTGAGCCGGCGCCAGAGGGGTCAAGTACACCCACTCGTCCTTCTTCCTGCACAGCGCGATCTGGAGGCCACACGGGTTAGGGGTTCAGGGGTTTAAAGACCAGAGTTTCACGAGTAGGGTCTTCCACGTCGGGCGGCAGCCTGTCAGGCGGCCTCGATTTCGTCTTCCACGCCTGGCGTCACTTTGCCGCCCGGGGGGGACAGGCACAAGCATGCTCATCCCTTGCCCCTTCCAAGAGCAAATTGCAGGAATCAGGGGTTTCAAGGATCAAGGTCTGGGGTTCTGGGGTTTGAGAACGCTCCGGTCATTTCTCTCTCCATTTTTACGATCTCAGGCCCACATTGGCAAGGTCAAAGCCTGCTTCAGGCCTTGGTTACAAAACCTCAATCTCAGAATTGATATCTTGCAGCTCTGGACGCACAATCATAAATCCTCGTCCTGGAAACATATTCATATGGTTGGGTATACGCATGTTGACAGCAAGTTCATAGTGCGTCTCACCTTGCCTGTCCGCGCCAGCTGCTTGAGAGGGAACTTGCTGGTGGCGCGCTGAAAGGCCGCTATCTTGCCGGGGTCGCCTGTGACCTGGAATGGGGGGAAGAGATTGGGGATGGGAAGCGGGGAGAAAAGCATGGGGTTGGGAAGTGGGGAGGGAAGCATGGGGTGGGAAAGTGGGGAGGGAAGCATGGGGTTGGGAAGTGGGGAGGGAAGCATGGGGTGGGAAAGTGGGGAGGGAAGCATGGGGTTGGGAAGTGGGGAGGGAAGCATGGGGTGGGAAAGTGGGGAGGGAAGCATGGGGTTGGGAAGTGGGGAGGGAAGCATGGGGTGGGAAAGTGGGGAGGGAAGCATGGGGTTGGGAAGTGGGGAGGGAAGCATGGGGTGGGAAAGTGGGGAGGGAAGCATGGGGTGGGAAAGTGGGGAGGGAAGCATGGGGTGGGAAAGTGGGGAGGGAAGCATGGGGTTGGGAAGTGGGGAGGGAAGCATGGGGTGGGAAAGTGGGGAGGGAAGCATGGGTTGGGAAGTCGGGAGGGAAGCATGGGGTGGGAAAGTGGGGAGGGAAGCATGGGGTGGGAAAGTGGGGAGGGAAGCATGGGGTTGGGAAGTGGGGAGGGAAGCATGGGGTTGGGAAGTGGGGAGGGAAGCATGGGGTTGGGAAGTCGGGAGGGAAGCATGGGGTTGGGAAGTCGGGAGGGAAGCATGGGGTTGGGAAGTGATTAGTTGTCGTGGAAGAGTAGCAGCAGCGTAGGAAGGTCGCGTTAGCAAAAAACTGACAGTTAGAAAAAACTTGTACCCTCAGAAAATAGGTGAACTCGAAAAAGTTCCTCAACCGGCCCGTGAATTGAGGCAACAAGCAAACATGTTTCGGTGGTGGGGATCAAACCCACAGCACCTTCGTCAGTGCATGCGCTGGTAATGAAAAAGGAAACCTCCGAGCGAGGGGTCTTAAAAAGACACCCAAGCCTCGAGATCTACTCTAGGGAAATCCTACCCGGGCCCACAACTAGATAAGAAGTAAGCCAACAAAGCACTGCGGACAAAACCTAGGTGCCCTGTCATTCTTCGGGTTTGTCCTCGGGAGCCTAGGAACCTGCAGGTGGTAACCTCGCGCGAACCAAAAGTTGTTGCACGTTACGTGCACACTTCCAAGCAACCAAAATTCTTCCTGTATTAAATCCGCGGATAAGGAGACGACTTTTGAGGAGCCTCAAAAGGGAAGCATGGGGTTGGGAAGTGGGGAGGGAAGTGGGGGTGGGAAGGCGGGTGGGCAATGCGAAGGAAGGAGCGGAAGGGGGGAGGGGCGGGGTGATGCGGGAGAAAGGTTTGAAAAGCAAGTGTCCACCTCGCACCTCATTACACAGTCAGAAAAACCCTCACTCGCTCACGGACTCACTCACTCACTCAATCACTCACTAACTCACCTCAACGGTGATGGAGCTGGGAGCAACATCCACCACGCGAGCTCTGAAGATCTGCACCAGCTCACTCCTCTTCAACCTCCTCACTCCTCCGCACACATTCCTCCACTTTGAACCCCTCTCATGCAGTCGCAGAAACACACTCGCTCTATGATGTCACTCGATCGCTCTCTCTCACTCACTCACTCACTCACTCACCTCAACAGAGCTGGAGCTGGGAGCAACGTCCACCACACGAGCTCGGAAGATCTGCACCAGCTCACTCCTCCGCACGCATTCCTCCACTTTGAACCCCTCTCATGCAGTCGCAGAAACACACTCGCTCTATGATGTCACTCAATCGCTCTCTCACTCACTCACTCACTCACTCACCTCAACAGAGCTGGAGCTGGGAGCAACGTCCACCACACGAGCTCGGAAGATCTGCACCAGCTCACTTCACCCCCTCATGCAATCGCAGAAACACACTCGCTCTATGATGTCACCCACTCACTCGCTCACTCACTCACTCACTCACTCATTAACTCACCTCAACGGTGATGGAGCTGGGAGCAACATCCACGACGCGAGCTCTGAAGATCTGCACCAGCTCCAGCACCTGCAACACAGGATCGAGGAGGATCAGGGAGGATCGGGGAGGATCAGGGAGGATCGGGGAGGATCAGGGAGGATCGGGGAGGATCAGGGATGATCAGGGAGGATCAGGGAGGATCAGGGAAGATCAGGGAGGATCAAGGAGGATCAAAGAGGACCTGGGAGGACCAGGGAGTACGACGTGGGGGAGAGAGGGGGTACGGGAGTAGGAGGAAGGCGGAAGGAGGGAGTACGGCAGTCAAGATAACGCTGACAAATTCGATCAAAGCACGAAAGGAGTGAAACAAAAAGGCTTCATAAAAGGTACCTACTTATCCTACTCGGTGCTGGGAGCATTCTTATAACGCGTACCTCGGATCCCTGCTGCGGCGTGACTGCCAGAAGGAGCATCAGCTCGCAGTCCTGCGTTAAGCTGCGCCTCAAGGCACTCATAACGGACTCTGCTTGTAACGCGTACCTCGGTCCTCGGATCGCTGCTCGGGCGTCACTGCTTGATCAGCATCAGCTCGCGGCCCACGCGGCTCTCGTGAGTCAGATCGTCCACCTCAAAACGTGCTAATCGGATCCTGCTTATAACGCGTACCTCGGATCTCTGCTGCGGCGTCACTGCCAGCTTGATGAGCATCAGCTCGCGGTCCACGCGGCTCTCGTGAGTCAGATCGTCCACCTGTCGCACGTTGATTAGCTTGTACAGCTGCTTCATCACCTGTTGCGGCACGCACGAAAGAAAGAAAGAAAGAAAGAAAGAAAGAAAGGAAGCATAGACGCAAACAGTAAGTTCACCGAATGTGCACTAGCAAGTCCTTCCAAGTGTGATCGTCCACCTGTAGCACGTTGATTGGCTTGTACAGGTGCTTCATCACCTGTTGGGGCACGCATGAAAGCGAAGAAAGAAAGAAAGCATAGACGCAAAAAGTAAGTTCACCGAATGTGTGAAGTGACAAGTCCTGCCAAGTGTAAGAGAAGTTCTGTCGCACGTTGATTAGCTTGTACAGCTGCTTCTGCTTCATCACCTGTGGCGGCACACATGAATGAAAGAAAGAAAGAAAGAAAGGCATAGACGCACACGGTAAGTTCACCTTCCAAGTGGAAGTGAAGTTCTGTCGTAAGTCGATCAGCTTGTACAGCTACAGCTGCTTCATCACCTGTTGCTGCGGCACACACATTCGGCTGCAAGGGTGGCGACGACTAAGAAACGGGTCTTGATAACAAACGGCGGACGTCGAACGGGCGTCGCACGGACGTCGTACGGGCTCAAAAGGGACGGCGGCGCCTCAAAAAGCAAATGTTGTACGGTTGATTAACTTGTACCTGCTGCAGTACGCGCTCCGATCCGGAAACGACAATGGTGAACAGTGCCTTGTTCTTGTTGAGCCCGACGGCGAGCGACTCGATGTTGATTCCGACGAAGCTAGGGACTCAAAGTTCGCGTTCGAATGGACTCACTGGTTCTCCTCACCTGCTGCAGCACGCGCTCCGACCCGGAGACGACGATGGTGAACAGTGCCTTGTTCTTGTTGAGCCCGACGGCAAGCGACTCGATGTTGAAGCCGCGCCGCGCGAACACGCCCGCGATGCGGTTGATCATGCCGCTCTCGTCGCCGACAAACACGGAGACCGTGTGGCGAAGGACGCTGAATGGATAGCGCGTAGGAGAGGGGTGGGGGGAGGGAAGTGGGAAGAGGGGGGGGGGGAAAGGTGTTGGGGGAGGGGAGGATGAGGGGACGATTGATCATGCGGTTGGACTTTGCCGCTCTCGTCGCCGACTAACACGGAGACCGTGTGGCGAAGGACGCTGAATGATTAAGAGTGGGAGAGGGAGGTCAAAACGAATGGGGAGGCGGGGGGGGGGGGAGGGGGGGAGAGGGAGGGGGGGGGAGGGAAGAGATAAGGAGACGAGATCTTCCGTGAGATCTGGGTGTGTGACAACGCCGACAATGCCACGGAGAGGACATAAAGAAATAGAGAGAGGGACGATGCAGGGAAGCAGTAGAGCGCGATGGACGGAGAAATGGTGAGGCGGAGAAGTCTATAACGCGGATCCAAGTACAAGATTTGCACGCGGATCCGCAGTACCAGCAGAAGAAGAGCGGAAAACGCACCCCGGGGGAGCCCTAGCGATGGCCTTGTCTGGCGTTGTTGCGGTCGTGCCAGAAGCAGCTTCTGACACTATCGAGCGTCGCTGAACCGGTGTGCTACGCGCCGTCGCGCTTTGCGACGCTGCCTCCAGCCGTGATCCGTTGAGATCGCTCTGCTTACACCATCCTGCGACGCTGGCAGCCCTGACGTGGCTGGCGGAGAGCGTTTGCGATCGCGCGTCATTACTCGAGGACAATCGGAGCCCAGCCTGCGCGGATTGCGCTGCTAGCGCGGATATCGCCATCTGTTTCAACTTAGCTATATAAGAGTCACCGGAGCGACAAGAACGAGCGGCGAGACAGCACGTGAGAAGCGTGCTGTTGTAGATGAGAGGCGTAAGGGTTGATGGGCAAGAAAAGCTCAGGCGAACACGAAAGAATGGGGGACGACGAGGAGGCCAGATTTTGAGAGAGGGGGAGGGGAGGGAATTGAGGTTCACCAGAACGGCCAATCAGATTCAAGTAACTCGCTCAAGCCTCGAGAATTTCGCGAAGTGTACCCTGCGTGGCGAGGCTGCGGATGAGGTGTCAGGCGAGACCACGAAGATGCGAGAAACGGGGGATTCGCTCACTCTCGTAACTGCGTTGGCGAAAGTGGAGCTGGCAGCGGCCAAGCAAGGATTCTACCACGCAAGCAGCTTTCTGAATGCTGAAAGGGTTGCTCGGTGTGCTGCTGTCCCGTGTTTGGCGCGTGACGTGGACATTCATAAGAAATATATCTTCACAACCTATATCAGGAGAATGGAGCAAAAAAATCAATATAAGCACACTAGCCTAGACTACAATAGAAGAACATGAAAATCATTGGTGTTTTTTATTACGGGTTAAAATTGAGAAATATTATAAGTTCACACATGCCATAAATCTAGTCGTAACTTGAAGAAATTTACACTACGATGAGGAAAAATCATGAGCATGATATTTTAAGCTTCAAATACAGTATCATGAATAGTAACATCACTTAGTGTCGGCAATAGGGATTACTATGTAAGAACTTAGTCACTAACCACTGAGCTAAAAGTGCAACCCCAACAGGTCTCTCGACATACGTAGCGAGAGGTTATAATAGTGACCCCTATTTCTAGTTGGGCCCAGGGCTTATCTTTGACATTTCTGAACTCTGATTTTCACCAGTAGCTCATGGGCTAACTCTGAAATCCAGGGTGCCCTGGACCGGAACTCTGATTTGCCAGGGTTTTTGTGCCTTATCTGAAAAAAAACCCTGTCCGCCTAGAATTTGGAAGAGATCTAGAATTTGCCCAGCAAAAAGTATTGTCTCACATCCACATGGCACGGTAACAGAGCAGCATCTCATCAATCATCATCATCATCATCATCATCATCCTCATATGAACCCTCACTAGCTGCAATCTCCTCATCCGAATCCTCGGCTGCACTCTTGCCTTTGTCGAGGGGAGTCTCATAGGCCACTGTCTTAGCCTGCTTTCGCATCTTCTGTTTCCTCCAGATGTCAACGATCTCGGCGTAGTCCATGTCGTAGTCCAGCATGTTGATCGTCATGAGTTCGCTCAGCCTTGCATCGCACAAGCTCGTCCGCAGCCACGACTTGATCACGTTCTGTCTGCTGAATCCTCTTTCACACTCCACTGTGCTCAGTGGAAGCACAGCCATGGCCTGCCACAATGCCATCAGGTTGGGATAGCTCTTAGGCCAGTCGCGGGTCTTGAGCATGGCAGCCAGCCCCTGGTTGAAGTCATCATCCGCCCGGTGGTTCTTCATGATGTGAACAAAGGTCTTGAGCTCCAGCTCGGCCGCCCTTTGGTTCACTCCTGGAATTGGGGTTTGGTTGGAATAGAAGCAGAGGACAACGGTTTAGTATCCATCCTAGGGCAAGGCAAACTGACATTTAACAACGAATGATACGGTTGTGTTAACGGAACTACTGACTTACCTGGCAGCTTGTGGTCGAAGAGGGCGACGTTGGATGCGAGCCAGGAGAGATGTCGCCGCTCGCGCACTTCTGCCTTCTTCGGCCAGCACTCAACTTTGAACAGTCCCGCGCCGCCCATCCGCTTCAGATCCCACAGCCTCTGCTCCACATTCGCCACCATGTCTTTGGCGAACGCAGAGCAAAGGTCCTCACAGTCCGACATGCTGCCGCCGAACTTGTGGCCGGGTAGCTTTTCCTCCGAGAGTTCGAATGCGTGCGTGCAGGGACTTCCGTCGTTGTCCATGCCATCGACGACGATGCTGCGCTTGCCGCTGGCATGCCGCTGCAGGAACTTGGTCAGCCTCTTGCTCATCCCCCCCCCGAATGTCGCACCGTACTCGATGTAACGGTGCCGGATGTAGGTGACCGTGCGGTCAACCTCCTGGGACACCAGGGTGATGTCCACCTGACGGAAGGGGCATAGGGCGGGCGGAGGTACAAAATGCAAGGAATTAAACTCACGCACATGACTACCAAGTTAAACACATAGCAAGACTGTGCAACAGTGCAACGAGATACGCCAAACAAAAGTACGTCCCGTTAAAACCACCACTTACAGAGCGCCTCTGAAAGAACCTGTTGAGGGTGTTCATCTCGGCGAGGACGTCAGCGAGGAAGTACAGGCAGTAGGGAAATTTCAGCGTCTTCACAACCGGTGCCAGCTTGTGGTTGTACTCGATGAGGACAACGATCGCCGCTCCGAGAATGCTGCAGAGCCTCTTGATTGCATCGCCACGTGAGAGCCACCGGATAAGGTAGAGTCCTTGATGCTCCAGGTTGGTGTTGTGGATGACCATCTGCAGGTGCTTGAAGCGCTCATACCATGGGGTGGAACGGCCAACAATCTCCCCCAATGCGCGGATGACGGCATCGATGATCTTGAAGTCCGGGAAGGCCGCGGCAGCATCCTTGACAGCCAGGGACTCTCTGCCAACAAAAACAAAACAGAGAGCATCAGCAACTTGACAAGATTTACCTGGAAGGGGCATGTAGCTATGCACGCATGAGCCATTAAAAGCACGTATGGGTGCAACAAACAAACAGCACCTATGGGCGATGCAATGGACGCCCACGAGGTGCGGGATGCGCATTCGTAAGCGAGCCACCAAGCCATGATGCTCGCCTGTCATCACAGAAGCCCCATCCGTACTGATGCCAGAGATCTTCTGGAGATCGACGCCGAGGGTCTCGAGGTGGGAGAGGATGATCGCCTGCAGAGAAGCCGCGTCGCACTTGTCCACGGTCAGCAAAGCTAGGAACTCGGTGACCACTTTCCGCTTCTTCAGAAATGTTGCAAACAGGATCAAGTGCTTCCCCCGCGTTCTGTCGGTGCTTTCGTCACAACTGAGGCCGATGAATGGAGATGCGTGAATATGCGACATCTGTTGCGCCTGCAAGAAAGCCACCATGGCTTTCACCATCTCCTTGAAGCCGTACCTGAATGGGAGTGAGAAAGGCATGCACACAACACTGGTGTTAGTAGTTGGTTAAAGAGGATCACAAAATCCAAAGGTTATAGGAAAACCCGAAAGAGAAGCAGTACAAGGGGATTAATAAACTTACTGTATTATGTAGACACCGTAGCTCTGCTTAGGAACGTCCTTCACCCCTTCATGCGCCATGAAGCCCACGAGGCGGGTGAACATGCTGATGGGCGCATCTTCCTTGCAGATGAATAACATGGCGCGGAGTAGCCGAATGATGCGCGCTCCCTCTGGGTCATTCGCAACAAAGTCTTCCATCCTCTTCTGGTTCTCCACTTCTGTCAGCAGGTGTTGTTGCTTCCTCACCGCGTCTTCATGCTTCTGACTCTCCTGGTGCCATCGCATCGAGCCGACTTGCAGATCCCGACCGCCACTGCCCTCACGCCCGTATCTTGCATGCACTGCACCCTGCTCCATGCAAACACTGCAACGCAAGCACGGGATTCCGTCGTCATTTTTATCAAGGACCAGCCATGGGAATTTCGGGAGCCAATCATTGGTGTACTTATGTTGCGCCTTTTCGTATGCCCTCGCCGTCTTCTCCGCAACTGTCGGTTTCGCTGACGGTGCAGTGACACGCTCCGGCGGTGGCGGAGTGGGGGGCTTAGGAGGAGGCAGTGCAAATGGCAGGTGTGATTGCTCATAGCGGCGCCTCTTTTTCGACGTCACGGCGACCGATGTAGTCGTGGCGGGAGGAGTAGCAGCAGGGGTTGATGTGGCGGGACGAGTGGCAGCTGGGGTTGATGTGGCGGGACGAGTGGCAGCTGGGGTTGTCGTGGCGGGACGAGTGGCAGGCGGGGCCTTGGATGGCGAGTCAACCAGCTCAGTCACATCGTCCTGATTGCGCTCCCACTCTTCACTGCTGAGAGATGGAAGGGGGTTCGAGTACACAGGAGCGGCATGTGCACGACGAAGGAAATCGAGGCCTCTGAGGGGAGCGACCCTAACAAAACGCTCAGCGCTATGGTCGTCCTCCCCCCCATCGTCCTCGTCATCAGAACTACACATGACGGGCTCTGGTGGGAAAGTGGCTGCAAACAGGACTACCTCAGGGGAGATTGATACGCTCTGGTAGTTGTGAGAGGGGTACTCTCTCTTGCGTGGAGCAAGAGAGAGTTGGAGGGGAACTCGGTTTCCTGCAGCAAGCAGCAGAATGGATGAACGAAGGGAGGGACAAGCTGGTCTTGACTTGAGGTGATCGACAATGCGCTACTAGCTGTATGGTGCATGCGTGAGTAGCATCATTGCTACCCGCAGCCTAGCGTGCTGTCGATGTGCTGGCTGCTGTACCAAGCCAGGAAATGCCTAAGGCATGCAGCAATCATCCAGCGGTGACAACTTCAGCTGCCGCACGCGGTTGTGCTGCTGATGCCACGCGAGAAAATGCCCAAGTGTCCAATGGGCACCGAGGAATCTTCCAGCGGTAGGAAGTTTGGCAGCAAATGGCGAACAGTCAGCGGGCGGCTCGCGTGAAACCACCCAGGAATCCAGGCCACGCGTATGTGTGTCTATAGGGAGTACAGGTAATATCCGGGGGTATGCCCCCTATATGAATACCCACAGGGTGGTACAGACACCAACTCTGATAAATCAGAGAAAAGAGAACTTTCAAGAAAATTACCCAGGACCATCAGAGTGACTTCCAAAAACGACTCTGATTTTCAGAGAAACAGAGTGATTTACTCTGATAAAATAAGCCCTTGGGCCCAACTAGAAACGACCATTGAGCGAATATTTTGCTTCACGTTGGGTAGCAGCCCGTATTTTTTAGCTTGCCTTGGGCCACGAAATAATTGCACCTGCGACGGAAATGTTATCGTGACAGATCGTACAACCACTGACATGCGCTGACAATAATTTCGACCAATCAGCAACCAGCCTTGGTTTAGCAGGAGTAATGAACTCGGGTCCAACTTGAAATTCAAGTTGGGCCCACTAAGTTCAACTTGCGGGCAGTGGGGACTGTGCGACTGGTCGCGCGCTATTTGCGACTTGAGTTTGTTCGCGCCAAGTGCTGCTCATGCCACGTTTCCCAACAAACGAAACGGGGTTTCCCGCCAACCAATCAAGTAACTGCTCATGATCGCGCAATTTCCCCTGTTGGCATGTCTCGACAGTGAACCCCTCTGCCCCAACCAGTTTGTCCCTTAGTCGCTACGACGAACTTATGGGCCCTTTCAAGTTGGACCCGCCTTCATTATTTTTACCACTCGCTTTTAGAAAATAGTTTTTTTTTTTCCCCCTCCGTCAAGGCGTGCTAGACGTGTCGCCGCGCTACTAAATGGAATGTCGCTGAATGTCTTGGCCTTACGCTTCACCTAAAAAAATGGGTATTGTGAAAGTGTAGCAAGGGCCAACAAAGAAAAGGCAGCGTCGAACACTACTCACCATCTTTTGCCTACAAAAGAGGGACGTGGGGCCATTTGGCCTCACCCACGTTCTCCATTTCTAGTTCCTCTAGTTCTATTTTCAGTCCTCCTCGTCCAATTTGGCAAAAACCCAGTCACTTCCTCGAGGGAAGGCCTCGACAACGTTGCTCACTGACATTTTGAAGCACAACCTCACTTCGAAGGTCTGCGAACAAGACTCCTAATCGTCCGACGACCAAGGCTACTACCCACATTAACTCAGCGGAGCCCAGAACTTCGGCCGGGGTAACCGCCCGTCGCCAGAAACGTCCTACTGAGGGCAATTGTGGCGAGGGGCCCTCGACAGTCGAGATCCTTCTCGACGCCACTCACGCCCCTCCCGAAGATACATGCGCGACTGCCAAACAGCCGCATATGCTGCTGCCCGAGGAGCACGCGCCTGCGCACGCCGCGATACTTGCAGGCCAGGCGGGCCCCACCGACCACACGCCCTATGACGAGGTCGTGCCGGTCGCCGCCGCCCCAGCGTTGATTGCGCAGCAGCTGCAGACGCTGCTGGCGCTGTTGTGCCAGCAGTAGTCAGTTTCAATCGAAACTTCATCGAACAATATAACCGCTACGACCAATTCTGTCATATAAAAGGAAATGCCAATGCCTCCTCGCGCCCCCAAGCTTCCGCGCGCCGACAACCAGCCCCCGACACCAGTCCCTACGCCCGCCAACGACATCGACGACCGCGAAGACTCCGAAAATGAAGATGGTGAGGTTCCTACCAACCTTGCTCGCCGTCGCATTCTCGCCTCCGCTTCCCCCTTCCCCCCCTTGGTCCCACGCTCGCAGCAACTACATTCATGCGCAAGGGTGTGCGTGACCAAGCCGAAGTCTTCATGGCTATTCAAGCCCACCTACAACATATTGACTACAAGCTGTAGCACTACAACGTCACCGCCTCGCTCAACGACGTGAAACACATCGAATTGCTTATTCATAAGCGTTTCGGGGTGTTTCTTGTGGCGGACGAGGCCGGTTTCAAGGCCGCTGACCGCTTCTAGCTCTACCAATCTAAGAGCATACTCATATCGCGCTTGTACAGGCATGCGGTAGCCAATGTAGCTGTCCTTAAATTGCGCGCGTGCCGCCTATCCCCGCGGCAGTCGTCTCGGTGGTTGTGACGGTGACATGGAGCTCAAAGGCTCCCCTCCCCTTACGTGCCAGCAGCCGCGCTTTAAGGGAGTGTGTTTTCGCTGTGGTCAGTCGGGCCACATTGCAAACGCTTGCCCCATGGGCGGGCGTGGAGGACAAGGCCCCACACTGGCGGTGTGAGCGGCGTCGTAGGGCGGTGCCCTTTGCCAATATGCAAGGAGCATATTGGGCTGCACCGGGGGTGCATGGCAAGCCTTAGATTAAGGCCAGGATTCTAGTGGACTAGGGAAGCCCTAGGGCAAGAGAAGGCCGTAAGCCTATGACTTTGTGGAATTCCATGCATGGAACTTTGTATGCCGCCATGACACATTGAGTCTAAGTTGAAAAAAAAAAAAAAAAAAAAAAAAAAACATAGCATTGAGGGTCCCACCATGGTGGGTAGGAAAATAGGTCCAAGGCAAGGAGGAGAGAGAGAGAGAGAGAGAGAGAGAGAGAGAGAGAGAGAGAGAGAGAGAGAGAGAGAGAGAGAGAGAGAGAGAGAGAGAGAGAACGAACGGGATGAAACGAGAGCATACATGACAAGGTCATGACGCCACGAGCAATGAAGAGAGAAGCTATGGATATGAGCCATGTCTCCCCACACGTGATCCATTCTTCAAGCAAACTGAACGATATCCATGTCGCCAATATCACCTGACCATTGGTTCTGCAGAAATTGGAAATGGATGTCCACACAACGGGCACGACCCCTACGAGTACGCCGTCACTGACAAGGACGTGACAGCCATGCACAGTTGGTTGCGTCATGCCTTGCACTGGTGGTGCTCATGGTGCGATAGCAGCTTCATCTTATCCATCATCCTGAAAGGGTATTGGTTGTCATGGAAGGACACTGTACTCGCGAGGCAATTCACGACCTCGTCACCATGCATGCCGCCGTCATGGTCCCAACTAGGGATGCACTATTATGTGTCAGCCCACTCAACATGGTCTAGCAGTGTAACAAGTGTCGCCGTATCCTCGACTTGCGCAAAGTAGAACCGGGTTGCTGAGCTCATTCGTCCCAAAATTCAAGTACGAAGGCTTGAACCGGGTTGCTGAGCTCATTCGTCCAGGCGATTGGATGTTCTCCTTCGACCTGAAATCCGGCTACCACAACGTCGAGATCCACGCCTCCTACGGGAAGTTCCTGGGATTCCTATTTGAAGGACATTATTATTCATTCCATTCGCTCCCATTTGGGCTCGCCACAGCCCCATTCCTCTTCACGCAGTTGATCAAGCAAGTAGCAAAGAGATGGCGGACGATTGGCATGCGGGTTGTTCCGTACGTCGACGACTTGCTGTTCCTTTGCAAATCCCATCTCTATGCGCGTTCAACTTGTGCAACCGTCGTACGGGACTTGAGGGCGGCGGGCTTTATCATCAATTCAAAGAAATTGCATCTCAACCCCTCGCGTCATATAGCCTTCCTCGGCTTGGAGATCGACGCTACCAATCAACATTCAACGTCGGACTCGAACGCCGAACACAACTTTTTACGACACTCTGAGCCCTCATCACCCAAGGCCAAGAGGGATGACAAGTCCCCATCTGGTCACTCGCATGAGCCACTGGAACAACCCGCACGCCACGAGCACATGCCTTTAGCCACGAGCTCCTTCGATTCATTGCCAATGCCACCTCTTAGCACGTCATGACACGGCTGTCTCCGTCAGCGGTGGAGGAACTGTAGTTTTGGCTAGCACTGTTCGACCATTTTAATGGCACCCCGTTCCACCTCAATCACCTGTTCGACGCCGTGATCCACGTCGATGCAAGCGCACACTATTGGGGCGCCACCCTGACACAACTACTCATGATGCCCCTTGAAGCCAACGCCCGCATGCCCGAGGAAATCCTGCCCACCTCCAGCACGCGTCGCGACCTCGAAGGCGTCTTATGGGCACTTCGAACATTTACCCTCCATATTCTCAAGCGCCAAGTGCTTATTCGCGTGGACAATCAGGGGGTGGTATTCATTCTATGCAAAGGGGGATCGCGCCATCCAACGCTCACACTGCTACGTCAAGCAAACATTCGTCTCTGCCTCGAGCATCAGAGAGCTGAACACGCACGCTGATGACCTCTCAAAGATCCAAGACCATGATGACTACTCCCTCGAAGTCCCTTGGTTTCACCTCCTAGATCGCCGGCTAGGTCCACATTCCATCGATCTTTTTGCAAATATGCACAATGCTCAGCTGCAGAGGTTTCGCTCTAAGGTTCCCCACTCGGCAGCCATAGTGTTCGACGCATTTTGATTCAGCTGGGAGCACGAGCGTGGCTTTGCCTTTCCACCTCCCAACCTCATCCCAGCCACCTTGCGACACGCACAACGCACGCGCGCAGAGCTGACCCTAGTTGTTCCCGAGTGGCCTGGAGCGCCATGACGGCCACTTCTCCGACCATCACCTGACGCCTGGGCACCATAAGTCAAAACACACATCCGCCTCACCCACGGTAGCCAATGTTTCCGACCTGTCACGCACTCCCTCGCTTTTGCCGGCCAAGGCTTTCCTCCTAGTCAGATGATTGCATTGCATGTCAAGTACAAAAAATGATATTAACAGTATTTATTCTATACGAATGTATCCTTTCAAGCTTTTTGTCAAAGCTGAAGACACAACTACTCCACGTAATTGCACACATTCGCGCCCATTTCACCATCCGCACATATGAGCCGTACCGGCTCAAATTTCGCTCATTCTGCATGAAGGTCAAGTTGAGTCACTTGCCTGCAACGGATATTACCTTGGCACTCTACCTCGTCCATGCCTTAAATCAACAAGCCGCAGCATCCGCCATATCGCTCACATGTTCTGCCATCGCCTTTACACACCGGATGACTGGGGAGCCGTCCCCCACGGATGCCCCGTTCACACTACAAGTACGTGAATTTGGCAAGCGCCATGGCCCACGCCCCACCCAGAACAAGGAACCCCTATCGCTTCACCAAGTGCAAGCCATGGCCCGCCCCTTCCTCAGGTCTATCAGGCCGGCCGAGTACCAGAAATGACTCATCCCGATACTCATGTTCGCGACATTCTTTCGCTACTCTGACTTGGTCAGCCTTAAGTGGAGCGACATACAATTCGAGCCCGAAGCAATGTGGTTGCTAATTCCCCACTCCAAGACCGACCAGGAAAGTTGGGGCACATGGATCCCGGTCGCCGCCACTGCCGGACCCTACTGCCTTGTGCATTGCGCGCGACAGTTTCTACTCCTCGCAGGTCACACCGCCACCCCATGCGGACCATTGATCCGAGTCTTTGGAAACAACAATAAGGCAAATCCACAAGACAACGGGCCTTCGTACACCACTATCCGGAACTAGTGTCTCGAAGCCTTTTCTAGGGCCAGCCTCGACTGCACCCACCTCGGTACACACTCCTTTTGCAAAGGCGCAGCGACCGCTACAGCCAGCTTGAGGATATCCGACCGGCTATTCAGGCGACTTGGCTGCTGGTGCAGCGACAACGCCAAGGAGCTCTATGTCACTATCGCACAACACCAACTTCTTCAAGCCTCTACGAAACTCCAAGACGCAACCACCGCCCCCACGCTCAATCAGCACCAGCTATCTATCGAACGACACCGCCGATCCATTCTGCACATGTCACAGAGGACTCATATGAAATGAAGCACGCTGCCTTTACAAGAGGACCTAAGCAAGCTTTCACAATATGTAATTTTTTGAAAGCGTGTAACGCTTTCTAAAAAATGTGTATTGTGAAAGTGTCGCGAGGGCCAACGCAGCAAAGGCGGCGTCGAATCGCTACTCACCTCTTTTGCCTACAAAAGAGGGACGTGAGGCCATTTGGCCTCACCCACGTTCTTCATTTCTAGTTCCTCTAGTTCTATTTTCCCGCCCACCCACCCGACTATGCGTGTACGATCATTTATTGGAGAGGACCATGTGTGTATCCCATATGAAATGAAGTACGCTGCCATATAAAATGAAGCACGCTTCCTTTACAAGAGGATCTAAGCAAGCTTTCACAGTGAGTTCTTTGCTGTTTAGGTGAGATTGGAGTAGGGCTTCAGATTGGTTTTAGGAAGGCTGATTGCGCAGGGTCGCCCATGTGAGAACCCTGTTTTTCAGGGTCGAGTTTTGGGCGTGGCATGTTTTGTCAGGGGAAAAAGAAAAAGAAGAGAAAAGAAAAGAAAAAAACGACTAAATCGTCATAGGGTTGCGGAGCTATCTTTGTCTGTTTCGCAATTTAAAGTATGCTACTTTGCAATTTACATCAAGATTATGACTCTTACCATTTGATGCGATGTTAATTTACAATTGTACATGAAGTGTTGTTATATTTCGTTTGTTTACATCCCTGATTCTCATCACTAGTGCAACTTTTGTTTTTCCAAGTCAGACAGAGCCAGCTCGAAAATCTAGGGCTGCTAAACCGCGTTGTCAAGCATCAATCCCAAATTTGCTGGACTCAACTCATTGTGCTATTGTGAGACGGAGAATGGTTTTTGTTATAACCTTTTGTCTGTGCGATGAATCAAATGCTCCTGGGGTTTTGTTTCTTCTTTTTTCTTGCTTTGTCCTTACCCTCGCTTTTCCCGTTGCTGTTTCAGCCACGCCACCTCGCCACCTACTTTCCTACCCAAGGCAAGTCGTTCTATGGGTTCCCTTAACACTTTTCAAATTCGTTTTTCCGTCTCTTCTAGTAAGGGGTTTCAATTTTGGGATTGACAGGGGATGGCGACGAGATTGACGGGGGGCATGGCGACGGGATTGACGGGGGGGATGGCGACGGGATTGACGGGGGGGATGGCGATGGGATTGACAGAGGAAATCGCGACGGGATTGACAGGGGGAATGGCGACGGGATTGACGGGGAAAAGGTGACGGGATTGGCGACGGAATTGACCAGGGATTGGCGACGGCGGCATGGCGGCATTGACAAGGGGGGGGAAGGGGGGGAAGGGGGACGACGGGATTGATGAGGGGATTGGCGGGGAATCTCTCTCGCTCTTTCACTAACTCATCCCTTTGCCCCCCCCCCCCCCCCTCTCTCTCTCTCTCTCTCTCTCTCTCTCTCTCTCTCTCTCTCTCTCTCTCTCACCCTACCTCTCTCTCTCTCTACCTCTTTCTTTTTCTCTCGTTCTCTCTCTGTTTCTCTTCTCTCTCTCTCTCTCTCTCTCTCTCTCTCTCTCTCTCTCTCTCTCTCTCTCTCTCTCTCTCTCTCTCTCTCTCTCTCTCTCTCTCCCTCTCTCTCTCTCTCGTTTTCTCTCTCTCTCTCTCACACTACCTCTCTCTCTCTCTCTCTCTCTCTCTCTCTCTCTCTCTCTCTCTCTCTCTCTCCCTCTCTCTCTCACACTCACACACACACATACACACACACCCACACACACAAACACGCACTCTATCTCATCCTCTCTCTCTCTCTCTCTCTCTCTCTCTCTCTCTCTCTCTCTCTCTCTCTCTCTCTCTCTCTCTCTCTCTCTCTCCCCTTCTCTCTCGTTTTTCCCCTCTCTCTCTCTCTTTGCCCCTCTCTCTCTCTCACTACCTCCCCCCCCTCTCTCTCTCTCCATCTCTCTCTCTCACTCTCTCTCTCTCTCTCTCTCTCTCTCTCTCTCTCTCTCTCTCTCTCTCTCTCTCTCTCTCTCTCTCTCTCTCTCTCTCTCTCTCTCTCTTGCTCTTTCCCTCTCTCTTTCTCTTCCCATTTTCTCTCTCTTTCCATGTATTGAACCTCTATCTGATACGTTGCTTGTTTCTTCAATCCTCATCTCAATTTCCAGTGCGCTACCTTTAAACTTGTGTTCGTGTTCACCTTTTTCTTATTCTCGCATTCTTCCACTCCTCCTTTCACACATTAGCCCAGTCAATCATTCTCTGGTTTCTTTATTCTCTCATTCTCCCATTCACTCGCTCATTCTCGTATTCATGTATTCTATCATTCTCTCATTTTCTGGTTTTCTGATTCTCTCATTGTCTCATTCTCCCATTGTTCCCTCCATCCCTCATTCTCTCATTCTCTAGTTTTCTTATTCTCTTATTATCTCAATCCTCCCATTGAACACTCTCACATATTCTCATTCTCTGGTTTTCTGTTTCTTTCATTATCTCATTCTCCCGTAGATCATTCTCTCATTCTCTATTTTTTTAATGCTCTCGATATCTCATTCTTGTATTTTCCCACTCCTTCTTTCACAAATTAGCCCACTCACTCATTCTCTCATTTCTTTTTGCTCTCATTCTCCCATTCACTCCCACATTCTCTCATTATCTGGTTTTCTAATTCCCTCATTGTATCATTCTCCCATTGTTCCCTCCCTCCCTCATTCTCTCATTTTATGTTTTTCCGATTCTCTCATTGTCTCATTCTCCTATTGACCACTCTCTTATTCTATGATTCTCTGGTTTTATGATTCTCTCATTGTCTCAATTCTCTGACTGACCATTCTCTCATTCTCTGGTTTTATGATTCTCTCATTGTCTCATTCTCCCATTAACCACACACTCATTCTCTCATTCTCCGATTTTCTCATCTCCCTCCCCCCCCCTCACCCCTCTCAACCTCTCTCGTCCCATTTTCTTACCCGTGTCTGATATGTCGTTCATTTCTTCAATCCTCGTTTCCATTTCCCTTGTTCTACCATGTCTTCTTTTCTCAAACTTGTGTTCTTCTCATTTTCTCTCTCTCACTCTCTCTCTCTCTCTCTCTCTCTCTCTCTCTCTCTCTCTCTCTCTCTCTCTCTCTCTCTCTCTCTCTCTCTCTCTCTCTCTCTCTCTCTCTCTTTTTCCACGTGTGTTGGTGCATCAGGAATGCTTATGGAAGAGATCTCTCGTTTCCGACTGTGATTTTTATATACAATTGACTGTTGAATAACATGTTTTAAATGTTTTTTGCTTGTTGCGAAATTTCTTTCTCCTGATGCACCTTAGAGTCCATGTGTTGTGTCGGTGTTCTTTTTCTTCTGCTTTGTGTTGCGGCCCTTATCCATTTTGCTACTGCTTGCTTGATAGATGGGTGGTGTATTTTGTGTATGCAAGAAAGTGGGTTGTATTGATCGTCTCAAGTTAGGTTGTTTGACTTTCCACCTTGAGTGCTGTCATTTGAACTGGAGATGGTGGGTGCAATCCATTTTCTTGCAGTCGCGAAATGTATTGCCTCAAAATATGTCGTGTGACTTGTGTTCAAATTATTGAAGTTATATATAATTGATAGGCTTGGTAGTTGTTACTGAACCTTACTGTAGAGGGTACAATCCCCTCCAAGTACCCCTCTCTCTTCCTAATCGACCATCTTCTCTCTCGTCAATCTTCACTGGCTAAACCTCGGCCGCCATTTCATGGCGGCCTTCTCCTTTCTTGCTAGTTCTGTTCACAACAACTTGTCCACTAGGCTTTCGATTTCCCCCACTTAGCTGGGGAAGCGATTGCCTATTTTCGTCGTCGACAAAAATACGCGACAGGCAATTATGGAGAATATTTACAATTTTTTTCCATAATTTATTTGCCAATAATATAGTGTAATTAATATATTACACTATACTGTCAACTTATACATATGCTGTATGTAGAAGTTATAGGCTAGCCTAGGTGTGTGCTTCTAGTGAGTACAACCCCAACAGGTACATGTTCTAGGTTTCTCACACTAGTCCATCATTCCCTCTTTCTAACATGGTATCATGAGTAGGTTAGGTTCCTCTCGCCCGCCCACGCTTCCGCCCTAGGCCCTAGCCGCCCTCGTGATCCGTCCCTAGCTGGCCCCCTGGCCGTCGCGTCCGCCCCTAGCCGGCCCCCTGGCCGTCGCGCCCGCCCCTAGCTGGCCACCTGGCCGTCGCGTCCGCTCCTAGCCGGCCCCCTGGCCGTCACGCCCGCCCCTAGCTGGCCCCCAGGCCATCGCGTCCGCCCCTAGCCGGCCCCCTGGCCGTCGCGTCCGCCCCTAGCCGACCCCCTGGCCGTCGCACCCGCCCCTAGCTGGCCCCCTGGCCGTCGCGTCCGCCCTTAGCCGGCCCCCTGGCCGTCGCGTCCGCCCCTAGCCGGCCCCCTGGCCGTCGCGTCCGCCCCTAGCTGGCCCCCTGGCCGTCGCGCCCGCCTCTAGCTGGCCCCCTGGCCGTTGCGTCAAGCCCTAGCCGGCCCTCTGGCCGTTCGCGCCCGCTCCTAGCCAGCCCCCTGGTCGTCGCGCCCACTCCTAGCCGGCCCCCTGGCCGTTCGCGCCCGCTCCTAGCCGGCCCCTCCTAGCGCCCACCCGGCCCCTGCTAGCGCCCACCCGGCCCCTCCTAGCGCCCGCCCAGCCCCTACTAGCGCCCGCTCGGCCTGTTGCGCCCGCCCGTCCCACACCGCCCGCCCGGCCCCACCCAGCGTTTGCCCGGCCCCGATACGCCCGCCCGGCTCCTGCGGCCCGCAGCTCCCAGTGCCTGCCCGGCTCCTGCGGCTCCGTGTCTTCTACTCGGCATGGTTCCTCGGGTCTCCGGCCTCGTGTCTTCAGCTTGCCAGCGCTGGAGCGTCCTGCAGACGTCCCCCTGGAGCTGTGCTGCTGTGTCCCTGTGCCGCTGTGTCCTGTGGAGCTGTGCCGCTGTGTCCCTGTGTCGCTGAACCTGCACGATGGCTGACTTCGTCCTCCGCCTGGACGCTGAGGGCCACGCGGTTGACTTCGCCGCCTGGCTGTCCGATCTCCGCCGTCACCTCACAGGTCAGCGCCAGGATGGGCACTCCTTGGTTGTCCATGCTGATGGCTTGCTCCCCCGCCCCCCTGCGCCTGCTCCCCTCCCTGCTGACCCCGCCTCTGCTGAGCGTGAGACTTTCTCTGCTGCTGCACTTGCATGTGCCGTCGGGGACTCTTGCGATGCAATTGCTCAGGTCGCTATCAGTCATCCCTCCCTGTGTCTGAGCGTTCGCGTTTTGCTACAGTTGATACAGCCAAGGCTTACTTAGAAGTTGTTATTGCTCGCTATTCCACGCCTGCCTCCGCTACTGCAGGCCGCCTGCTCTTCCCTATGCTTTTCCCAGACCTTGCTTCCTTCCCTACTGTTGCTGACCTTGCCACTCACCTGCGTGGCCTAGAGTCTCGCTACCGCACAGCTAGCACTGCTGCCCAGCTCACTGCGCTCCCTCCCCCCTTCTGCATGACCCTCTACTTTATCGCCATGCGCCTGCCTGACCGGCTTGCTAATGCACGCGACCACATCCTTAGCCAACACCCGGGTGATCTCACCCTGCCAGCCTTTGTCACCGCCCTGACCGAGATCGAGACTCGCAAGCGCACTATCGCTCAGTCGAGCGGTGCACCGGCAGTCTCTATCTTCCACGATTGTGCCCCCTCCCAGTGCACTTTTACTGACGTTTCGGCTGCGGTCGCCACTGCGACCCCTCTGACCGAGACTGCAACCTGCCAGTACCAGCTTCAGACCGGGCCTCTCCGCGGAACTCTGTGCCGCCGCCCGCACCCGACTGCCCGTTGTTTCCGCCGCCTCGATGATCTCTTTCGTCGTCGAATGGCCCGGCCCCAGACCTCCCCGACTGGCACAGCCTGCTTCGCCAGGGCGTGCCGATCTTTGAGTTAGATATGGATCAGATAGGTGCTGCTTTGCATGCCTTGTATGCTGACGCTTCTAGTGTTGCTGGATCTTATTACCCTGTGTACTCTAGTTTAGGCGTAGCACCCTTGTGTAGCTTAGCCTCCCCTGCTGCGTCAGGCGTAGGACTGCCTAGTTTGCCTAGCCTAGTTTCTGCACCGGCTCCGTTCTCGGCCTCCGCCACTGCCTCGCTCTCCTTCACTCTCGACTCTGGTGCTTCTGCCTGCTTCTTCCGCGACCGCTCCACGCTCACGCCGCTTGCTGCGCCTGCTGTTGTCGCTCTCGCTGACCCCTCTGCGGGTCTTGTCGTCGCTCGCAGCTCCACTTCCCTTCCCTGTCCAGCCGTCCCCTCGGGCTCTCTTACAGGCCTCCACGTTCCCTCGTTCTCTAGGATCCTGGTTGGTGTCGGCCGTCTTCGGGACCTCAGCGTCACCACTACGTTCCCTGGGCACGAGCGGTTCGTTGTCTGTACCGAGGCAGTCTCAGGTTCCCCCGTTGCGACGTTCCCCCGGGACCCAGTGTCCGGTCTATTTACCCTCGACACTGCTTCCCCCCCGGTTGGTGCATCCTCCCTGGTCGCTGCAGCTTGCTCGTGTCAGTCCCTCACACACCCGTCCCTTCTGTGGCACCACCACTTAGGTCACCCTGCTCTCCCGCGCCTGCGTCACATGTCTCAGCACGGTCTTGTCTTAGGCCTCCCTGCGTCGCTCCCTGCACTTCCCCCCTTGACTGCGCCACCGTACACGCCTTGCGTCGAGGGCCGGCTCCGCCGTGCCCCTCACTCCTCCTCGCTTC